GTTCTTAAGGGTTTATTCTTTTTCCACCTACTTAGTCTTTAAAATATGGTCTTTGTGCTACATTGCATATGACCTTTTATTGATTTTGTAGTCTGAAATCTCTATCAACTCTTCAGAATACTTCTGTTATGGTATTATTTCATCTCCAGGTCAAATGATGTTTAAGGTTTAATGGCATTAACTGAAAACCTCATGATGTTCACATTTTATATTCAAATGCTTTGAAAGTTTAATATACTTCTAAAACCATACCATCTATTTCTAAGCAAAAATTATATTTACTGTTGCATGGGTGGATAACTGTATTTGGTCAAGTAGCTTTATTAACATGGTCTTTATGTAAAAGTGGAGTTTTTATTGTATGAATAAGTTTTAAAAATTCAAATTGCTAGAGAACGAAAAGCACTTACATCTTTAATCAAATTCTAGAGATTTGATTTCAAATGTAATTTCTCAAGCATCATTCATATGGAAAGATTTATTAAGTTTTAGCAATCCTTTTTATAAGCTTTAAAATATTAAGTTTATAAAGATGTGTTTATGAAAGTAGTTTTGCTTTGAAGATTTAAGTTAGTATAGCAATCCTCAAAGCTTTTAGATATACCTATTTAATATATTTATACAAAGCAAGACTTAATATACTAGCAAAATCTCCTACATTACTTTTTAAAAATAGTGGTTACCAGATGCAAATATTCTGACTTCCATAATTCTGGTTTAATTTTGGCTTTTAAAACTATTATGAGCAGGATATTATGCTATGTATATTGAAGCATCGAGAATAAAAAAAGTTATGTTTCCATAAGGTGTTGTGGTAACTACAGAAACCAGAAACCCTTAAAACTTCTTCATCAAAAAGGTTTTTTTTTTTTGAGCCATGCAACTTTTCTAGTTTTGTAATCCTTACCTCTCTTATCCGTGATATCATCTCCTCCTATGCACCTTGTTTCCATAGCTCAATCTGTCTTGTAAAGTCTGTGTCTAAAGGCAAAGAAAGACATTAGGATATGTGTAATTATATTCTATTGCTCCCACAAATGTATCAGTTTTAAACAAGACCCATTTATTATGTTTTGTGGGTCAGAAGTCCGGTGGGCTCTTCAGGTTGCTCTGCTTTAAGTCTCACAAGGCTAAATCCATGTTTGCCATTAGAGCTTTTATTGGGAGCCTCTGTGTAGAATCCGCTTTCAGACACATTCAGGTTCACCCCCATGTGGTTGTAGGGCTATGGTCTCCATTTTCTTTCTGTCATTTGGTGTCATTCTCAGCTTTTAAAGGCCAGTTGTGTTCTTGGGGTATAGTCCCCTTCCTCCATCCTCAAAGCCGGCACTAGTAGATTGGTTCCTTCTCATGCTTCCCATCTCTGACTTCAGCTCTGCCTCATCCCTTCTGCTTCTCTCTTCTGCCACATTTTGGTGACTCTAATGGGAGAAACTTCTCCACTTTTAAGGGGTCAAGTGATTAGATTGGCCTATTTGAATAACACGGGATAATCTTCTTACTTTAAGTTCTCTAACCTTAGTTATATCTGCCAAGTCCCTTCACAGAAGTACCTAGTTTAGTGTTTGAATAACCAGGGCTTAGAAATCTTGAAAGAGATATCATTAGATTTCTGCCTACCAAAAAATATTTAACTCTTGTTTCTTTCTAGTTTTTAGTATCCATTTACAACGAATATTTTCCCATTTAATTGGTTCGTGTATATTGGGTTAGGTAGTGGTTGTTGGTTTTCCTTCTTTTTATTTATGTTTGTGTTACATTTTTAGAGTTGTCTTTTCATTTTAATGAGGGAAAGAATTTTTTATTCTTAATGCTTATCAGTCCTTTGTTGGGGAGGATGAGATGAACAAGGAAGAATGAATCTATTATATTTACTACCTATAGTAGTTTGATACTAATTTGCCAATAGGTACCTGAAAAATGCAGGAATATTTTTTTCCTTATAACCTGCAAATTGTTTCCTGTTTATTATCTCAGTATTTTATCTGAGTAAAATTAAATACAGTGAAGGACTAAATTATGCTGTGTATTTTGAGCCATCGACTCATTTTTAGTTTTTTTTCTTTTGAAAGAAATGCTATATTTATTTTAAAGACCATAGTCAAAATGTAAGACTCCAGTGATTTACAATAGTTTTACACAGCTAATTCACAGTGCAGTTGACTTTTTTGGCTATCTAACTTTATTAAGTAGTTTTGAATGGATTCACACAATTCTAATGATATCGTGAGTCAAAATTACTTGGGTTAATAAAACCAATTATTTTACATATGTTTTTTAATTTTAATTTCTTTTATTCATTTGCAACAGAGCCTTTCTCTGTTGCACAGCCTAGAGTGCAGTGGCGTCCTCGTAGCTCACTGCAACCTCAAATCCTGGGCTCAAGTGATCTTCCTGCCTCTGCCTCCCAGAGTGCTAGGATTGATTACAGCCATGAACCACCACACCCAGCCCAAAGCAATGATTATATATATAGAGACTCAGTTCACTTAAAGTGCAATGAAAATTTTATTGGAGTTTTGTAGGCAGGACACCTCTCCTCTAATTCCAAATAACATGAATATAACCTGTGTTATTTTAAATGGTAAGGTATTTGCCACGATTTTTTTCTCTAATCTAGAATGTTCCATTGCTTTGAAATATTGTATAATATGAATTAATGGATATATGTTTATATCCCATGGGATTTTAAAATCAGAAGTTGTATTAATAATTGAATATAGGCTCTTAATATAAAATGGTAGAAAAATATAATTTCTCCCCTCATGAAGTTTACAGTCCATATTTGTTAAATTAACAGATAACATAATCTTGATTTTTAACTCTTTAAAGACAGTTTTTATATTTGCATATATTTTCCAAATAAAACACATTTTAGTCAGTAGTTATTTTTGTCATATGTATATTTTTACATATTTTTATCATATAATACTAATTAAAGGATTATCAGGAGATACACAAGAATAAAGATAAGAAACACTTATTAATCCATCATTCAGAGATAATCATTAACATTTCAATGTACACCTTTCTATTCTTTTTATGCACATATATGTGTATACATTACAGCATGGCATCATGGTGCCTACTCTGTTGAAAAATCTGCATTTTCTAAAATTAACTTTTACCTCGACATTTTTATAGCTTCAGTTCCATTGTATGGCTATCAGAAATTACTCAGTATAAGACTCTTGTTGTTAGAAAGTTAATTTCTTCCCCCCAGTTTTTATCTAATATCAACAGCTGCAATGAAAGTCCTTGTGTATGCTTCTTTATCCATATCCTGAATTATTTCTTAAATTCATTATTATAATTTTAATTGCTGAGTGAAGGCCATGCACATTTTAAAGACTTTTGATACATTTTATTAGAAAATATATTTAATTGGTTTGGAATGCTTATTGAGTTTATGAATAAATAAATGAATGTTTGAAAATATTTCTTATGACATTGTCACAAGTACACAAGAAAAAACTGGATAATTGGTTAAAATTTAGTTAAAAATGAATTTATAAAATATGCCTCTAGAAGCAGCCCATCAATTTTAAATGGCTGCTAGAATATATTTCACTTGATACTAGGAATTTCACCTGATATTAGGACTATTCTGTGTTTGGATCTTCTTACTTATCATTATGGGTTACCATTGTGAGGAATAGTGGAGGGTGTTTTAGTATGAAATGTGTCTTTTCAGATTGATTATCTAGAAATGCCTTTTTGGACTCATCATGATGGTATTGAATTCATATTTTAAAGTATTTGCTACAGAATTCTTTAAGAATGTCTATTTTTAAGGTGCAATACTGTCTATTCATTCCCACTGTTGAGGATATGTGGAAGCCCTTCTTGCCTGTGTAGTCATTCTGTAGTTATTCTATTCTCTCAAGTTTCCCTTTATTTTTAAACTCATGTGTCACAGTCTTTTTAGCTCAATTCAAACAAGTATAGTTTTAATTATTAATTGAAATGTGCCTTTTTCATCTTAGCTTTTATTAAATCAATTAATAGTAGAAACACTCAAATTTTAGCAGATGAGATTTGAATATAATAGCAAAATTATAATTTCTTATCTGAATAGGACTTTATAGTTTATGTAGAGTTACAGAGTAGAAAAAGCACAGGCAAATTGTATTTGAATGCAGTTAGCAGTTTGGTGCCCTATGGCAGGATATTCAATTTCTTTCAGTATTAGTTTTCTTATACATTGTATGCTTTAGATAGCAGATAAATAAACTACCTGGTAAAATGCTTAGCTAGCATAGTGTAGGTGATGGATAAATGGAATTTATTAATATTATAATTACTGTATCTTATTTTGCCCCCCCCCCCAAAGGACCTGTGGATTGCTTTATTCCTGTTTACAATTGAGGAAACTGAGACACCGTGCATTTTAGAGATTTGCATAGAGTCATTCAGCTAACAAATATAAATTGATAGCTATGTATTTCTGGCTTCAAACTAAGCATGCTTTTCACTCTTTATACTACTTTTTCTGCCTTAACACATAGGAGTAAGAAGTAACTTTTTATGCAATATCATGACAGTGAAATTGTTTACCTAGATTATGAGAAATCTGATTCCCCATATGCATGGCACAGAGTGTGCACTCAGCTATCATGTAAATTAATGAATTGTATTCATGATATATATATTAATAGATGGAAGGTTGGGTTCAGTCTTCTCTTGTAGAGAGAGAATTGTAAATTGAGATCACAATGCTGCCTATGTATTTTTTCAGGTGTTAAATATGGTAATCAGGGTACCTCCCTCATCATTGTAATGATTAGATGATACCATACATGGAAAACATTTAGAAAAATGCCTGGCACCTTAAGCATTCAATAAATGTTAGCTATTAGTAGTATTTGAATGACTCTACAGTGAAAAAAACTTTATATGACATCATAATTCACCTGGGTATTCTCTATTATGTAATTTTACTAGACTTTTTAATGATGCATATTGTTTTTTATTTTTAATTTTTTTATTATATCTTTTAGGATTGAAAGAGTTGTCCCCACTTCCTCTAAATCTCAAACGTTTATACAAAGAGACACTAGAAATTGAACCCATCTTGATAATTATTTCTCCGGGAGCTGATCCTTCTCAGGAACTTCAAGAGCTTGCTCATGCTGAAAGAAGTGGAGAGTGTTATCACCAGGTAAGTAGATATTGCCCTGCTAATGCTATTCCTCCCACATTTTATCCCATTAGTGAAATGGACATTTTTGTCATGATATGCCAAATAATGCCCTAAAAGGCACCCATGTCCTAATTTTCAGAACCTGTGGATATGTTATCTTACTTGGCAAAAGGAACTTTGCAGATGTAATTAAACTAATGACCTTGAGTGGGAAAAATTATCCTGGGTTATCCAGGTGGGTCCAATATAATCACAAGGGTTCTTATAGAAGAGAGACAGGTGAGTTAGAGTGAAGATAGGAGATATGATGATGGAACTAGAGGTCAGAGAAGAGAGCGGACGCAAGATGTTACACTTCTAGCTTTGAAGATGGCAGAGGGAGCCACAAGCAAAGAAATGTAGGTGGCTTCCAGAAACTGGGAAAGGGCAGGGATGAATGCTGTCTTAGAGTTTCCAGAAAGAACACAGCTTTGTACTACCTTTATTTTCAAACCCAAACACCTTGATTTTAGACCAGTGAGACTTACGATTTCCAGAAATCTAAGATAATAATTTGAGTTAAGGCACTAAATTTGTGTAATATATTTGCTTAAATTTGGGGAATAAATTTTAAAATTTTACTTAATTTTATACTAAATGACAATAATGTTTACCTGTACTTTCTTTACCTGAAGTGAAAGAAATGCATTAAGTATTTTAAGTAAAATTTATCTAGTGTAACACCATTTTTTCTTCCTGAGTGTAGGAGCTTTTCTTTGTTCAGATTTCCCACATTTCTCAATTCAGTTTGAAAATCAAATTTATTAATTTACCCTTAAGTTCTGACAAGTGAATAAACCTTTTTATTGTGAAAATAATTAATAATCATTTAAAAAATACCCATACTTTACAGCAACCAAAAATTGAAGTAAGAATTTTACAAGGAACAGTATAAATAGAAGATAGTAAAATAGCAGAGCTGTTAGGCTCAGTTGTGCAGGTTTTGCATTGACTAACTCTAAGGAGTTTCATTCAATCATAGTTATAGTAGATTAGAATATTCATTAAAATAATATTTGGTTATCAATGAGGTGTCTTAAAGAAGAGGAGCCCTTTTCTAAAGGTTGTACCTGTTAACAGTGACTTTGGCAGGAAGATTAAACTATTCAAATAAACTTCTAATTATTTAATGTTCTTGGAGAAGAAGATTAATTTCTGGTGTTTGCTTCTTCAAAATTTAATATTAAAGCCAGCTGAGTAGGTTTAGGGATTATTATTATTGAATCTCTTATAATGTTATGTTACATGTAGGCAGATCTGGAATTTTAATTTTGTTTTCTGTTTTTGTTTTTGCAGGTTGCCATGGGTCAAGGTCAAGCTGACTTAGCAATTCAAATGCTGAAAGAATGTGCCCGAAATGGAGACTGGCTCTGTTTGAAGAACTTACATCTTGTGGTATCTTGGCTACCAGTTCTGGAAAAGGTAGATTCAGATAAATACCGTATAAATATTATCTAATATACTGAATTCAGTAATCTCCAAGGAATATCAGCATTAAAATCTGTCACACATTATTTATGATTTTAAATTAGTCTTAGAGAAATCATTTTAAGTTTAAGTATTTCCTTAAATATGTACAATTGTGCAAAACAAGTTGTTAACAGAAAGTCTATAAAAATCTCTCTATTAAAGGCATATAAGAGAAGCCAAGAAATTTTTAATCAGGATTGACAGGGAAATTCAGAGAATTTTTCCAAAAGAAAAATAGGAAGATGCTTTAAAAGATTATATAAGACCTATTTATATGATTCTTTTTATGCTCTTGATCTCTTAATCTGTACAGGGAGAAAGGATATAGTGGAGTGTCAGAAGGAACCTCAGAACTTCCTAGGTGCTAAGGACGCTAGAATGTAAACTGAAGCCAACACTTCATTTACCTCAATTAGCCACAGGAGGAAAGTAACCTTAAGGCAGAATAAATCACTGGATAGGTTTCAAATGCAAACCTGTGTTTAAGTCTGGTGCTCATTTAAGAAAGATGAATATAGTCTTGGGTACTTAGAGATGACTCTGAAGAAGATGTTCCTAGAGGGCCGAATGGGATTTAGCTATTTGTAGGTAAAGAGTAACATGGTTAATTCCAGCAGCACAAGTATAGAGATACAGTGTTGGGGATGTGCATGCCTACTACAAGAAATGAAAAGATGTCTTCGACAGTACTAGAAGGGCTTTGTAGGACAGTGTAGGGAAATGGAGTTAGATGGCAAGGTTATAGAATATCCTGATAACTGTGCAGGAGATTTTGGAGTTTTTGTCCTGGGACTTAGCCAAAAGAAGTCTTTAACTTGAGAGTTAGTAATTAATTTAATTTGTCTGGTAGAAGTAGTATATAGAGTATAGAGTGGATTGAGGAGGTTCTAGCCTAGTTGTGAGGTGCTGAAAATCTTTGCAGTCCTAATAAATATATAAAAAGTCCTAAATAAATAAAATCCTAATAAATTTGTGCATTCCTATAGAATAGACCCAAACAAAATAGAGTATACTGATGAAGGGCCTAGCCTAGTTATGAGGTGTTTAAAATTTGTACAGCCTTAATAAATTGGCAACTACAGCACCTTAGCAAATAGGTAATCAATAAACCTTGAAATGAGTTAATGAGTGAATTAATGAATTTATGAACCATGATGATTCATTACGTGTAATCAAAAAAAGATAATAGTTGTTGGAACTGAAATATATATGAATAGTCATGTGATTTTCTTACAGTTTTCTTTAAAAATCAGTAATGTGGGGCCAGGCATGGTAGCTTATGCTTGTAATCCTAGCACTTTGGGAGGCGGAGGAGGAAGGATCACTTGAGGCCAGGAATTCAAGACCAGCCTGAGCAAGAGTGAGACCCTGTCTCTACAAAAAATACAAAAATTTTCTGGACGTGGTAGCATTTGCCTGTATTACTAGCTACTTAGGAGGAGGCTGAGGCAGGAGGATTGCTTGAGCCCAGGAGTTTGAGGTTGCAGTGAGCTGTGATGATGCCACTACATTTTAGCCTGTGCAACAGAGTGGGATCCTGTCTCAAAAAATCAATAATGTGTGAAAATGTAAAATCCATATCTGATGTATCTTATGTTTTAAAACATGTGAAGACGACCAGCCAATACTTGAATCCTGCTTTCTGTTCCAAACGGTTGATTGATAGCTCTTAATCTGTGTGAAATGTAATTATACCTTGAAAACATACTTAATTAGAACTTTTTGAAAAATATAGAGTAGATTATAATACAAAATTTAAAAAAAAACAATTGCTTATTTGCTTTTGTCTTGGAAAGTTTGGATGAGCTGTTTGGGTTATAAATTTATAAATTTATTATAAATTCAACTATATCCCAAATGTATTATTCCTTTTATCTTTTAAATTATTTTTTAAATGTGCTAACCCAAAGAAAATTTTTATATAAACTTTACATTTTGAAATCCTAAAGTGTAAATACATTTTGTCATTTACAATTTAAAGCAAGAACAATATTTTTATCGCCATTTTTTTTACCATTGTTTGGTCATCTTAAGTCTACATTTCACATGATGTTAAATGAATGTGTCAGATGTAATTCATATTAAAATAAGTTTTATACTTTTCTTTAGAGCTATCACATTTTTCTTGTGTCATTCATTCAGTTTAAAGATACTTGCTGAATACGATAAAACCCAGGCATTATGCTGCATGCTGGCTAAATATAGCATTTGTAACTGCTCTCAAGGAACTTAGTTTAGAAGAGACAGACAGTCACATTAATAAATAACTATATTGTGGTATGATGAATACTATAGAAGAGAATTTACAAAATGACATGGTGATTAATTCTGCTTGGGATTGTGGTAGTGAAGAGTTGTAGAAGATATTCCCCTAAGACATGATATTTAAATTATATTTTGACAGATGAGTAAGAAGTTTTCAGGTTACAAAGAGAATAATAGGCAGAAGAAATACAATGAGTAAAGACAGGCATAAAAATCTGAATAAATGACTGAAGTGTACAGTATAAAGGGCATGGGCAGATGAATTTGTATGGTGTGAAGTTTCAAATTCATATTATAGGCAATAAGTGCTACTAAAAATTGTGAAAAAGGTGACCAATATCATATAACTATGTTGAAGCATGGATTGAACCAATGAGAATGTGAAGGCCTATAGATGGCTGTTAGTTTAGGCATAGTACTTGTAGAAGCACTTATTTGTACTTATTATGTAGCAGGTACTATTTTAGCATTTTATACAATCCTATGTGGTAGGTTTTATCATTCTTGTTTAGAGATGGTGTACATCAAAGAACCCAAAGGTCACACAGCAAATTAGTGGAAAAGTTTGGCTTTCAACCCAGTCTACCTTTGCTCTGGGTCCAAGTTCTCATTTATTATACTAAGTTAGTAATAGAAAAGATAAAAGTTTACAGGAAATGTAATCAGAACATTGAGAAATATATCAGAATGTCATAGAATAGATTTTGTAAGAAAAAGTTGTTAATAATGGATTGATAAAAGGGAAATTGATATGTATATTTAAGTAGTTTTTTATTGTTTTTGTAAACAAGGAATTGAATACCCTTCATCCTAAAAATACCTTTCGTCTTTGGCTCACTGCAGAAGTTCATCCCAACTTTACTCCTATCTTACTACAGTCAAGTTTGAAAATAACATATGAGGTAAGAAGATTTAAAACTTGGATCACTAGTTGTATGAGAGCAGTAATCTATACATGCCTTCTAAAGCTTTGTAAACAACCATCTGTTATATAAAACACATAACTTCTTTTATATTTAGATGAAGTATAATATACATAAATGATAAGGTGATAGAAAAATTAATTTAAATCTTTTCAAATTTTATTACAATATCTGTTTTTCATTTTTATTGTGGTATAACATAAAATTTACCATCTTAAGCATTTTTAAGTGTACAGTACAATACCATTAACTATATGCACATTATTGTCAATAGATGTCTGTAACTTTTTATCTTGCAAAACTGAGATTCCATATCCATCGAACAGCAACTTCCATTGCCCCCTCTCCACGGCGCCTGGCAACCACCATTCTACTTTCTGTTTTTAAAGTTTGACTACTTTATTTATTTATTTATTTATTTATTTATTTATTTATTTATTTATTTTACCATTCAGTCAAAATCTTTTTATTACAGAGATAATATAGCATCTGTAACTTTGTACTTTGTTGGGGGGGGAAATAACACATGGGGAGAAAATAATTTAGATACTTCCTTTAGTAGAATGATGTAGTATTTACCTTTTTGTAACTGGCTTATTTCCTTTACCATAATGTTCTTAAGTTTTATCCATGTTTTTATGACAGGATTTACATAAGACTGAATAATAATATTTCATTGTATATATATACCTCATTTTCTTTATTCATCCATCAGTGTATACTTAGGTCTTCTACTTCTTGGCCATTTTGAATAATATGATGAAAATAGGTAAGCACAAATCTCCTCAAGATCTCATTTTCAATTATTTTTGATATATACTCAGAAGTGGAATTGCTGGATCATATGATAATTCTGATTTTTTGAGGACCTCTATACTGTTTTGCATAGTAGCAGCACCATTTTACATTCCCACTAACACTCCACATTTTTTCCACATCCTCACCAATACTTTGCTATGTGGTGGTGGTGGTTTTAATAGCAGTCATCTTAATGGATGTAAAGTGATATTTCACTGAGGTTTTGATTTGCATTTCTCTGATGATTAGTGATTTGAGCATCTTTTCATATACATGTTGGGCACTTGTATATCTTCTCTGGAGAAATGTCTATTCAAATTCGTTGCCCATTTTTTATTAGATTATTTGGTTTTTTGTTGTTGAGTTGTAGGAGTTTGTTATATATTCTGGTTACTGACCTCTTATCAGATAGGTGGTTTGCAAATATATCCTCCCATTCTGTAAATGGGGGAATATATTTTTACTCTTACTGTTTTCTGCACAGAAGTTTTTAAGTTTGATGTCCCATTTGTCTGCTCTTGCTCTTTTTGTCTGTGCTTTTGGTGTCTTATCTAAGAAGTCATAACCACATCCAACATCCTGAAGCTTTTCTTCTAGGAGTTTATAGTTTCAGGTCTTATGTTTAGGTCTTTAGTATATTTTGAGTTAATTTTTGTATATGATATAAAGTGAAGGTCTAACTTCATTTTTTTATATGTGGATATCCAGTTTTCATATCATTTGCTTTTGACATACCTTAGTAAATTAGATTTTCAGTCCTTCCTTTTCTTCCATCCTTCTAATGTATAATACCAGGTAGATCTACCCCAAACCTGATATATCTAAACCTAATGTGTTTGTAATGATATTTTAAAGCTCGTCAAAATCATAAATAAACTTAATAAACATAAATAAAGCTGAGTTAAAACTTTTAAATACTGGTAAAGGAGGTTCTGCTTGCATTTTCTCTCAATTTTTAGAAACTTTTCTGTTTGATCTTTTTTCTGAAGAAAACTATCATCTTAGTGTTTGTAACTACCTATTATATTAGATCAGTACTACTTTTATTTTTCATCTGAAGGTGATAGTTTCAGGAAGAAAAGGATAAGTATTAATCCAGGAATGCAAAGATGATTAAATATTGGAAATATGTTCATGAGTGAATATCATTATAAGGTCTAGTAAGAAAGCACCGTTTCAGAAACTTTTCCTGCTGCTTTCCAAATATACCCTTCTACTAATCTATATTCTAGAACTGGATTGTTTGATGGCAGGTGCTACTTTTTTGCTTGCTTTTTTGAACTTATTATATAATATCTGACATGTAAGAGGAACTCAGTAAATATTTCAGTAATGAAGAATTACTAGGGAAATTGTTCCTTGAATGTTTTAACTTAATGTGCAACCTTCTCCAGAATCTTTTTAGGAGGTAATTTGATTGTACTTTTATGGAAATTTTCAATTTGTTTTGAATTATTAGTGAATTTATTTTCTGTTTCTTGAATCAATGTAAATAATTTTAACTATCCTAGGAAATAGTGCAATTTATTGAGATGTTCAAACTTATTGCTGTGCATGTTTGTATATATATGTGCATACATATACATATTATTTTTAAAAATTGTTAAATCCATTTCATTCTTTTTTGTTCTTTTTTGGTTGTCAGAATTGTTTTAAATTTTTTTCCATATGATACCATACTTATGAGTTTACTTTTTTCTCATTCTTTTTTATTCATTGAATTTTCTGCCTTTTTTCTGTATTTTTTCCTTCCTGATATTTTCTTTAGATTTTTATTTGCTTTCATTCATTGCTTTCATTCCTGATTTCTTAAGTTGAATACAATTGCTTTATATTTACTTGCATGAATACTGAAACTATTCTAAGTCTGAGAATTTGAAGTTGAATATAACTTTGACTTTAGTTCATAATTTTATCTCAAAAACATATGTTTTTGTTATTTTTCAAGTAGTCTGTATTTGTATGTGACTTATTAATTTGCATGATCTTTAGTACAGTGCCTTTAAGAAAAATTAAGTTGTTTGGTTTCCTACTAATGTCATGTTTTATTGACTAGTGCTCAAAAAATTTGGCCTAGTCTGTGATAATTTTTTATAAATGTTTCATAAATGTAAAAAGCTTTCATTTTAAAAGTATAAATTTGATACTTAGTACTTCAATAGTATATTTTTATTTTAAACAAAAAAGTCTTTTTATTTAAGAAATAAAAGACAGCAGTAAGGCCTATATTGCCTATTTTTTGTAGCAGGCATTCTGAAAGTATTGATTTGAATTATATTTTTTCATTTTATGTTAGAAAACATTTTGGAAGAAAGATTTTCATTTTAAAACAGGCTATTAAAATAACATGGACAGAAAATTCCACGTTATATATGTATTTTTTACGTTGGAATTCTTTGGGGGGGCTTATTTTGCTATTTTTCCAGTAAATTGAAAATTTTCTGTTATCATTTAAAAATATGATATAAACATGTCTTATGCATGTGGATGAACTTTTTTTTTTAGTACTAGTCCAATATACAATTTCAGTTCTTGGGTTTGTATTTGTGTTTATAAGCCTTGCAATGTTAGGTAATACCCATTTTAACTTTGGACTAATGTACAAGGAAGATTAGTTTGATATTATTTGTAAATGCTATGTCAAAGACCTCATGGAAATTGGCAATTAGTGAGGAAAGCTGGCATATTAAATGCAAGCACCTGCCCTATAACAATTAATATCATATTATAAATTATAAATAATTTTATTTCAGTAAAATCCTAAATGATTACATAAAACTAACTTGGTTATTTTGAATATTATTCGTTGTGTAGATTTTTTAATTTGAAAAATTATTTTGTATTTATAATTGAGATGAACTGTTGTATATATAAGAAGGAGTTTAAAATTAGTTTTATATTTGTACATTTTAAAATAATGTAATAAAATAAGTCAAACTTGGGAAGTAGTAGAAAATTTTCTTCAAAACACATTCTCAAATATGTTAAATACTGATTTATTTCATTTGTAAGATTTTAGCAATAGGAGATCTATTAATTTTTCTCTTTAGTCACCTCCTGGTTTAAAGAAGAATTTAATGCGTACTTACGAGTCTTGGACTCCTGAGCAAATTAACAGAAAAGATAATATACACCGAGCTCAGGCTCTCTTCAGTTTTGCATGGTTTCATGCTGCATGTCAAGAAAGAAGAAATTATATTCCACAAGTAAGTAGAATATGTCTTGGATGTATTTTAAGCTTTACATTTTTTTTATTTTAGAATTTTTTACAATTTAGTATAAATAGCTAGGATTAATCATAATTTGGCTCATGACTTGTAAATTTATATCTCCAATCTGATCTTTTCTGGCTAATCTTCTAGACAGTATATAGTTACCTACTTTACATTTCATAGAATTAAAGTATTAAGAACAATTCATGACCCATCATAAGGCCTCAGTGAGTGTTAGGTATTGCCATGGTTTATGATTCTCAGACATCTTAAATTAAAAAAACTGAATTCCCATACCAATTTTTTCTTTAGTATATCCTTTTCAGAAAAAGGCATGGATATCCCTCTGCTTCAAGTGAAAAACCCAGGAGTTGTTGTTGATATGTTTTGTTTCTTAGCTTTCCTATCCAATCCATTATCAACGTTTATTGATTCTGCTTCCAAAATATAACTCAAATGTGTACACTTCACCATTTTTTCCAACCCCATCACCTCTCACCTGTATTGACTTTCTGAGCTAGGCTTCTAACTGTTCTTCCTGCTTTTTGCATTTAGCAACCAGAATTATCTTTCTAATATATAAGTTTGATTAGTTCATTACTTTGCTTTAAAAGATGCATAAAATGGCTTTCTATTGTGATTGGGAAAAAATATGCGAGTTTCTTGCCATAGTTCAGAAGAAAAGACCTGCATATCTCTTCAGCCTCCTCTGGGGCCCTTTGTCTCACTTATACTATATACTTCAGTCATGCTGGGCTTCTTTAAGATCTTGAATCCATCAAGCTCTTTTTCACCATAGGCTCTAACTATTGTTGTTAGCACCACCAATAAATTGCATTTTTTGCCGTTGCCTTGGCAGTCATCTCTGATACTGATGGTCAGCTTTTCTTGCCAAATGCCTATCTCAGCCATAAACTGCATCACTCTTTCATCTTTAAATTATTCCCTTCCTCTTTTTTCAACTTGGCCCACATCTGTGGAGGAAAATATCTCCTCAAACTGCCTTTCCACCTCACCCTAACCCCCTTTTAGTCTCCCTTTCTATTTCAGTTACATGTTTAAATAAGAGCATAAATTCTGGAGTTAGACTTGGATTTGAGTCCTGACTCTAGAATTTTCTTGATGTGTGACCTTGGGTCAATTGCTTTAACCCTAATAAACACTGGTTTCCTCAACTGTAGAATGGGGAAAATGATTATATTTACCTTTACTGTGGGGATTAAATGAAAAAATGTTTAGAAGTACTTAACACAGTGACTGACATGTAGCCTGTCAATAAATATTTGTCAAACAGATGAAATGATGAACAATAGTAGGATTGTGTTGTTTCTATAATTTTCATACTATGCTTATGGGAAAGGGACACTTATTATTTTCATTTTACAAAGGAGGAAAATACATTTTGTTTATGATAATTAACTTGGTCAATGAATCACGCCTAAAAAGGTAAAGAGCTCCAAAACGGGTAGGCTCTAAATTCTTTGCCTCTAACTTCTCTGATATCCATACTTAGCCTACAGTATCAGTTAATCCTGACTGATTAATGAAGATTACTTATAATGATGGACTTTTATTGAGAAAACTAGATTCCAGTGTGTGTTAAGTGATACATGCCCATGGTATAAATTTAAAAGCTGTAAAAAGATTTGCAATGAAAAGTTAGTTTCCTTCCTCTTTATCCCCCTACCACCCACTATTTTCTGTTCTGAGGGGATCCACTGTTAAACATTTCTTGGGTGTGCTTTATATTATATAAAAATACAAACATTTTATTAATTTATATATACATATGTTCTTTTAACTCAAATGGTAGCGTATTGCAAACACAGTTCTTAACCTTTTTGTTTTTTTGAAACTGAGTCTCCTTCTTTTATTCTTTTAGCTCACTGCAACCTTAAACTCTTGGGGTAAAGAGATCCTCCAACCTCACTCGCCCTAGTAGCTGGGACCACAGGTGCACATCACCATACCCAGCTAATTTTTTCTGGTTTTTGTAGAGATAGGGTCTCGCTCTTGCCCAGGCTAGTCTTGAACGCCTGACCTCAAGCAATCCTCCTGCCTTGACCTCCCAGAGTGCTAGGATTACAGGAGTGAACTACTGTGCCTGAGCTGAACCTTGCTTTTTAAACAATGTTTGAGATTGTTAATATAAGTACCTATTTAATGCCTAATTTAAAAATATTATTTGTATTACATTATATCGATTTTTAACAGTTTTGTATTGTTGGATGGGCATACAATTCTTCTCAACTTTTGCTGTTACCAAAAAGAAATGTTGCAACAGATACCTCTATATGTGCTTCCTTTAATACTTATTTATAGTGGCCAATTCCTAAATGTGGAATGTTTGGGCCAAAAAATATGTATATTTTTTAAAATTTGTAAATATTACCAAAATTGCTCCCCATAGAGGATATATAGCAATTCACTTTCCCACAAAAAAAGTTTGAGAATGTCCCTTTTTTTCACACCATAAATTTGATCTTATAAAAGTCATAACACTGAAGGTAAAAGTAGACAAAATATAGGATACTATTTAATTACTAGAGACCATATCATAGGGATATATATTAAGTAATATTGATAGCAGCAGTCTTCTAATTTGGGTGTTTTATAAATTTGATCTTTAAGGTATCTTAAAACTTTTTAAGGAAATAAACATTTCTTTTTACAAATATAGTCTAATAGAATGATATAAAAATGTTATTAAGACTTTGTTTTGAGTTGGAGAAAGTTTAGTTAAAATATTATGGGAATTTTGTTAACTGTTTATGGGTACATATCCTGTACAGATATTTAATTCTTAAATATTATTACTTAGTAAGTGAAGTTTAAACATTTTGTTTTCATAATACTCGTTTTTAGAAATAATTATCCAAATGTTATTGATCCCCAAATTTATACATTTAACCCAAACCAGTTTTCTAAGCTCTAGGTTTATATATAAAATAATTGACCTATCCAGCTGTATGTCTCAAAGATAACTGAAAATCCACGTATTCTGGATAAAGTCCTAGAAGTACTAACTTCCCAAGAGCACAGATTTTTGCCTCTTCATTTTTTTTTTTTTTTTTTTTTTTTAGACAGAGTTTCACTCTGTTGCCAGGGCTGGAGTGCAGTAGCCTCCTCATAGCTCACTGCAACCTCGAACTCCTGGGCTCAAGTAATCCTCCTGCTTCAGTCTCCCAAATAGCTGGGACTACAGGCATGTACTGTGTAGAGACAGGGTCTCACTTTTGCTCAGGCTGGTCTTGAATTACCGGCCTCAAGCATTCCTCTTGCCTCAGCCTCCTAAAGTGCTAGGATTACTGGCATGAGCCACCATTGCACCCAGACGATTTTTGATTCTTTTGTTGTTTGCTACATGGTCACTGACCAAAACAGTGTTTGGTATATATCAGGTACTCCATAAGTTTCTGTTTAATGAGTTTTGTTTAGTCATCTCATAATTGGTTAGCGATCTAATAATATTTCTTCCCAAACTTCATGTTCTTTCAGTGTTTCACTTATTAATGAATGACCACAATCCATTTGAATAAGGTATAACCTTAGAAGTTATTCTTAACAGCTCTTTTTTTGGTATCCTCACTTTCCATTACAATCCAATGCAAAAATTCTGTTAGTTTTCTTTTTCTAACTAGTTCTCAAATCTGTCTACTTTTGTCTATTTTTCTGTGTCAACCTGCTACCCATCAGGGTGACTTTCCCTTACCTCTTTGATTAGGTCAGATCTCTTTTATGTATATATGTGTGTATGCATACATGTATGTGTATATATGTGTGTGTGCAGATAAACACATATACAAACAATTCAAGTATGTTTCTTTCCATCAAAGTTACTATAGTTTATAGTTGTATAAATATTTGAGTGATTGCCTCTGCTGTACTCTTGCCCACATTTGACTGAAAACTGCATAAAGACAGGGATTATTTATGTTTTGTTTTATTCTTATATTGTCAGATCCTGACATATAATATACATTTTAAAAATATTTTTGAGTGATGAATGAATAAAATATGCATCAGTATTCCCAAATAATATTCAAGCCTAAATATATTTTAATTTGAACTTATTTTATTACATAGGGCTAATTAGTTACAGTCAATGGAAGGCCCCATAGAAATTATTTTTAATTATGTTTTATATTATTCTCTACACAATATAGAGCCCTATGAATGTTCTATTTATACAAATATTGTAACTATTAGTTATAGGTATAATTTTATTTAGTTCAAATATTAATGCTTTGTGGTTCAATATGAATGAATATACAGATACTGCTTTATGCTTTTGGGACCATTTTTACAATATTTCTGTTTTATGTTTGTGGAAAAAATTATAGGAAATGTGTACACAGTAAGTAGAATAAAAAATTCTCTCTATGTTGCCATGTACTTAAGTGATTAAAACTAATATGATAAAAAAGGACTTTTCCTGCTGTGGTCAGTAAATTTGTTTTTTAAAAAATTCACTGTAGATTTATTGTGTATATCTTATTAAAAATTCTTAGGAGTTGTATTTTTTTAGTATATATTGTTTTATTTAAGATTTTAAGGACAGTGATGCATACATATATATCTTTGAACATTGCTTAGTTCTTTACTATTTTTTAAATTGTTTTGACAGGGCTGGACCAAATTTTATGAGTTTTCTCTATCAGATCTTCGGGCTGGGTATAACATTATTGACAGACTCTTTGATGGTAAGTTCTAATGTTGAAAATTTTTATCTCTGGTGTTAATGAAAATTTTTATTTGAGGTCCTATCAACTATATGGCTTCTTTATAAGTGGCTCAACTCCTTACCACAAAATTTGTGTTTTGTTTTTTATATTGTTTTTTATGTTCTGACCGCCATGCCTGTGTTATCTGAGAGTTCTTACGTTATCTATCGTGGTTGTTGGTTTTTATACAACCCGTTAGATTTTTTATTCATTTGTAGCTCTCTGGAAGCAGAAAGCTAGAAAGACCTTGTCTTCACTTTCTGGCCTTCAGAATGTTTCAGACTTTAACTGAATGATTCAGGTATCTTCAAGGGGGCTGTTAAAATTGAGGAGTATAGCAGAATAAGGTCAGTACCAAAGATTTGTGGGTTCATAGTGAAATTATTAAGTAGGAATCAAATAATAGATTGAAGTAGTGCAGCAGATAAGACAATCTCATCTCCTAAGGCCATCTAGCTCTCTGTCTGCTTGAAGACAGGAACAGTCTAATCTCTAAAGCTTATTGTGCAGGGCCAAGGCAAGAGAACATTAGTTTAATTCAATGGTGGATTAGAGAACAGAATATGTTCACAGTAATCTCAAACTTAAAAATGTTTTAAAACTTCAAAACCGAACTCTGTTTCTTTTTCCTGTGTACCCCAAATCCTGCCACTCTGCCAAACCACCCTTCTCTGAGTTTGCCCCATTTCAGTAGATGTCCCCTTGCCCATTCATGAAACTGTTAAAGCTCAAAGCCTACTAGTCACCATGGATTCTTTCCATTTCCTCATCCTCAAACATCCAGTGCTTTGGCAATTTCTGTCCTTTTCATTTCCATATCACATCATGATTCTATTCCCTTCATTTCAGCTTCATTAATGCCTTGGCAATCCAAGCCATACCTTCTTACCTGGTTGTCTTACTTCCACTTTAGCACCCTTTCAAACATTCTTCATTCTGTAAATAAGTTTACTCTTTAGAAAAGCAAACCAAAGCATATAATTTCCCCATTTAACCTTCTGCCACATTTGTCGTCTTTCTGTTCTTCAAACAAGCCAAATTTGTTCCTACCTGAAGATTTTAGTAGGTGTTCTTGTGTTTGAAATACTCTCATCTTACATCTTTATATGGCTTCTTCCTATTATTCACTTCTCAGCTTACACTATCTTCTTTCGAAGAGCTTTTCCTTATCACTGAATCTAATCTAGTCATTCTCTATCCCTTTGTTTTATTCCTTTAATACATTACCACAACCTAATGTATTAAGCTTATCTTCTTGTTTACTCATTTTCTTATTTTGTTTCTCTCTTCCCACTAGAGTGTAATTTGCATTAAACTGTGGTCTTTGTCTTCTTTACTGTATATATCGTTAATACCTGTAACAGTGCCCAGTCCCTTATAGGCACTCAATTATTCTTTGAGTTAATGACATCAGAAATTATTCTGTAATTTTTCTTTGGCAAAAGGATAAGGATGGGCACCTATAATGTGGCTTAATTCTCATTTTAATTTTTATATTTTTGAGGTTAAAAAAACCCTTTTTAATGAAGTGCAACATATGTACAAAAAGTACTTATAAAATTACACCTTAATGTTTACACAAACTGAGCACACCCATATAGTCATAGTTAGCATCTTAATCCAGAAACAGAATACTACCAATACCTCAGGGTCTACCACATGTAATGCTGCCTTCTAGTCACTACCATCCCCCAGCTTCCTCATCCCTGCTCCTGAGGTAGATACCAGACACCTAACTATATAGATTAGTTTTGCCTGATTTTGTAAAACTGGAAACATGCAGCATGTCTGCTTGAGTTTTTAGGTTTTTCAGTTAACATTATATTTGGTAGATTTATCCATATGGTTGCACATAGTTGTCCATTTATTCTTAGTGCTACATAGTATGCTGTTGCTGTGTGATTATACATACTTCTGTTGATAGACATGTGGATAGTTTTCAGTTTGGGATGATTATGAGTAATGCTACTGTATCTTGACGTGAACATATGGATATATTTCTGTTGGATATATATATAGGAGTATAATTGCTAGGTCATAGGGTACATATTTGTTCACCATTATTAATGCCAAATAATATTCCAAGTGAATTTTTTTGTTTAAAATATTTCTTTGAATTATACATCTGAAGTGCACATAAATGTACAATTCCATATATTTTCATAAATTGAATCTATGTAACTAGCACAAAATGAGAAATCAAAGTATTTTCAGCATTCCAAAAGCACCTCCTACCTACTCCTTTCTATGTGTGACCCAACATTCCCCCAACCCATGCAAGGGTAACTACTTTTCTGACTTCCACAAGCTATTGCTTTTAATGTTTGGCATAGAATATTTTGGATGATACACACTAATACTGCTAATACTTTAGCTTGTGTGGAAACTTGGTAATTTTCCAAAATCCTTTTGAACTTTTATTTGACTTTATAATACCACTATGAGGCAAGTATTATTAGTGCCCTTTTGCAGATGATGAAGCCAAAACACAGAGTTTGAATGATTTATCATTATGTTTCAAGTTGTGATGTATTAATAATTAATTAATAGCATCTTGCAACCTTTATATGTATCACACCATTAAATGATAAATAAAAGGCAGATGCTCTAAAATGATAATGAATTTCATGGCAAAAATCTGACTGTAAAAATCTTACGATTACAAATTTTGCTGATGTCAAGGGGCTTCTGTATACATAGAATTAAATGTGAAAAAGAGATAAAGTTCTAATTATCAGGACCAATTTGTATAAAGTAATACCTATGCAACCCAGAGCAAGTTTCTTAATCTTTAAGCCTGAGTTTCCTGAACTGTAAAATAGGAATAGTAGTAGGCACTACCTCAGTTTAATTGTTGACAGATTTAATGAGAAAAACCATATAAAGCATTTAAAATTAGTACATTTAATATATTGAGTTAATCTATCAATAATTGTTGGCTGTTATTGCTATTGTTGTAATTTAAGTTCTATTCATTTCCTTTTATCCTAAACAACATAAAATTTGTTTTGAGAACAATGGGTAGAAGAAGAAAAATTAGACAGATGCAGTGGCTCATTCCTGTAATCCTAGCACTTTGGGAGGCCGAAGCAGGAGGATTGCTTGAGCTCAGGAGTTCAAGACCAGCCTGAGCAAGAGTGAGACCCAGTTTCTACAAAGAAAAAAATTACAAAAATTAGCCAGGCATGGCAGAGTGACCCCGTCTCTACTATAAATAGAAAGAAATTAATTGGCCAACTAATATATATAGAAAAAATTAGTCGGGCATGGTGGCACATGCCTGTAGTCCCAGCTACTAAGGAAGCTGAGGCAGGAGGATTGCTTGAGTCCAGGAGTCGGAGGTTGCAAGGAACTATGATGACACCACTACACTCTAGCCCAGGTGACAGAATGAGACTCTGATGAATAAAAAAAAAAAAAAAGAAAATTTTTTATAAAAATGCTATACAATATTTCATATAATGGCTGATTCTTCTGTTTTATAAGTTGAAAGGTACACTAATATATCTATTCCTTAGTGACTGGCTTATCAATGACTGGCATATCCATTACTCATGTATCATTTAGTAAGTATCAAGGCAGAACTAGAAAATTGAGTCATGGCAAAGTCCTTTGCTATTTAGCCACTGTTAAAAAGATATAGGCAGAAAACAAATTTAATTATTCCTCCACTATGTAGGTGTCCTTAATAACTGCGGGAGGCAACCTAAATCACTTATGTCCCAAGGCATGTAGTAATACTGCCATTGATTTTTGTGATTGTCTCTTAATGTTATAGTAACGAAATAGAAATAAACTAGTAATGCTAACAACAAAGTTAACTAAGTAGTTTTAGTTATGTTTCCTGTATTTACCACAGATCTGAGATTTAATTATTACATTGCAACATTACCAATGAATTGTTATTATGAGGATGTATCTGTTGCAAAATGAAATATCTTACAGAAAAAGCTCCATTGTGTTTTTTTATACTACATTTCTGTTACAATAGAAAATGGATAGTTGACTGTGTAAATAATTGTGATGTTTAGAAGACTATAATGTATGAAGGTGTTTTGTAGAGTTTCCCTATTAATCAGATTATTTTATGAACTGTGTTTTTTCATCAAACATTGTATAAAAGGATGTTTACATAGGTTCTTTTAAGGCATTTTCAACTTAATTAGCTGGTATTGTATGGCAGATAAGAGCATGACTCTAGTTTCAGAGCAACTCATTTCCAATTCAGATCTGTGTGGGATTGTGTAACTTTTTCATTTTGGTGACTCAGCCTCCCTATGCCTTAATTTCTCCACGTGTGTAATTGTATAATATTAATACTTCTGTGTTTGCTATGAGGATTGAGTTTATGCGTGGAAAATTTCACTTGATTAAATAATCTCAATAAATATTAGTTTCTGCTATTAATGATCATTTAAAGAAATGATTTAGTTGTATTATGTATATGTTGCTATATCCTGAAAAGATAACTGGAGCCAGGATTTTAGTTAACATTTTAGAAACGAAATTAATAAAGATTTTTTTTTTAATTATAGGTACCAAAGATGTACAGTGGGAATTTGTGCATGGTTTACTTGAAAATGCTATTTATGGAGGACGTATAGATAACTATTTTGACCTTAGAGTTCTTCAATCATACCTGAAACAGTTTTTTAATTCTTCAGTAACTGATGTATTAAACCAAAGGAACAAGAACATTTTTCCATATTCCATATCTCTACCAAAATCCTGCAGCATTTTGGTAAGTAAAATTAATCATTTTCAATCAATTACCAGATGGATACTCAAATCATTTTTTTTTTTTTGAGACAGAGTCTTGCTTTGTTGCCCAGGCTGGAGTGAGTGCCATGGCGTCAGCCTAGCTCACAGCAACCTCAAACTCCTGGACTCAAGCAATCCTGCTGCCTCAGCCTCCCAAGTAGCTGGGACTACAGGCATGTGCCACCATGCCCGACTAATTTTTTCTATATATATTAGTTGGCCAATTAATTTCTTTCTATTTATAGTAGAGACGGGGTCTCGCTCTTGCTCAGGCTGGTTTTGAACTCCTGACCTTGAGCAGTCTACCCGCCTCGGCCTCCCAGAGTGCTAGGATTACAGGCGTGAGCCACCGCGCCCGGCCTCAAATCATTTCTTACATTGTTAAATATATTATTTCTTTTCAAATTCCCAAGTAATTATTTTCAGTTTATAATATTTTTATTTCCAGTACATGGCCTGATTCTCCAAACTCTAGTCAAGTGTCCTATAAACTTTTGGGTAATTACAGAAGATTGATTGATCATAATGATAATAGACTAGCTTGTAGGCAAATCTTGGAGTAACCAAGGAAAATTCAAAGACTGTAGAACTGCAGTAAAGAACCAGAATGGGAGAATATGCTACTTCCTAGCAGGCATGAGTGTACCCTGATATATTGAAGAATGTGAAAAAAGTCAAATATTATTTAACAAATATCTGTCTTCAGTTTCTGGCTTGTAAATGAAAGCAGGTCTAAATATATAAAAGGGATTTATTTTATCTGTCTTTCCCAGCAATGTTTCTGTTTATGTGTATTTATTTTAGCTAGCTGTAGCTTTTTTCCTTGAGTCATTGCATAAAAGCCTGCTAGAATGCAGTCATCCTTTCCAGAAAATAGTATTAAATATAGCCCAAAGATTTTAATTTTAGTTTATTTTGACATAAACCCATGTTTGTATAAATGCCCAAATAATGTTTTTATTACAGAGCATTATAATTATACATTTTTCACCAATTATAAAGATATATATATCTGTTCAATTGTGTAATTCTCTGTGCTATTTTAAGTATCCCATCTGTTTTGTTTTTTAGTATCTTTCATTTACTTAGTCATTCAATAATACGGATTGAGCATCTGTTCAATGTTAGCCCTGGTCTAGGCACTGTTGATACAGGGAAGCATCTATGGAGTTTACCTTCTAGTAGGAGAACCATAGAGTGAATAAAAAAAACAGTATATCAAGTATTTATCATATATTTGTTTTTGGTAGTATGCCCCAACAAGTTTTTTGCCTCTGAAGCTTAAATTGAAAAAAATTCATACAGGAATGTATGTACATCATAAATGTACAATACAATGAATTTTTGTAACTTGACTGCATAAGAGTAGCCATCACTGGGATCAAGAAGCAGAACATTATCATCTCCCCAGAAGCCCTCCTCATGTTCCTCTCTAGTTACTCAGTTACTCTCCTACTAAGAGTACATTATTCTTAGTATCCTAGACTTCCTACTGCCTAGATTACTTTTGCCTGTTTTTGCACCATTTATATAAATAGGATCATATAGTATATATTCTTTTGTGTCTAAATAAGGTTAAATCAGTCTCAAAAAGCAGCTACTAATTATTTAATATATAAGTGTCGTTCTAGGTAGACAGAAGACTCTAGCCAATTTAGATGAAAAGATTTCATAGCTATTTTGAAATGAACCAAGTGTATAACTCTACAAAGAGTAATAGTTTTCAGTGTATAGGATGATTTATAAGACTCACTGTTTAGCTTTCTATCTAACTGAGTTAGAAGGAGATGCCAAAAGTTTTCCAGGATGATGAGAAAACATGCACATGCTTGTTTACACGCATACATGTACATACATATACACATAAACTCATATACATACACATATACATTTATACATGTGTACATTGTGATTGAATACCTTGAGGAAGTTTAAAAATGTTGAGCTAAAGGAAAGGAAGACTTGCAAAGGACATCATGACTTTCAAAATTTGACGTATTTACAGGCTCTGGGCTTCTTGGAACCTGTCTCTTTGGAAATACTTCAGGGGCAGATTCCAAGAATGAGAAAAAATGATGGGAAGCCAGAGAATGAGTCTCCCCACCCTTACTTCAGCAAACACAGTTTAGATGCATATGTAATAACTGCCTTAAAATAACTTGTCTCTTCATGAAAACAAACTAATTCCCATCTTTGGGCCAAACTAAATAAATCTTTTAAATCTATACTTGGTTTTTCATTTAAAGTCATAAATAAGTAAACTATTCAGATGAATGTTTAGCAAGTCAATCTTATGCAATGGTTAGTGTAATTCTTAAGATGAAATGATAGGATTATCAATGCATTTTTATCACAGCTCACCAGCAAACTGAAGACTAACTGGGATTACTTTGTAATAAACTAATTTACAAAGCAGTGCTTGCATAACCAGGTGTGCCTGTAAGTTTCTAAGGTTTCTCTAAGTTCCAAAAAAAAAAACAAAACAAAAAAAACACAGATTTCTGGAATATGTATCTTAATTGGGTAAGTAACAGGAAAAAAAAACCTTATAGAGCTTTCCTAAAAACATCTAACATAGTGTCTTATACATTGTAGGCATAGCCATTTAAATATGTCTGTTTTAAACAATTCAGGGTCGGTCCCTTTGTATGTAGGAATAAGGATAAGAAAATATAGTATCAAATAACTGAACTATGAAGAAGTATTCATGATATAATATTTCCTGTGGGAAACTGAGTTAATATACAGAGAAAAAGTGAGATTTACCTAAAAAAATATATATATATAATATGAATAATAATTAAATATTTCACAATATCCATTCTTTCTGATTTCAGTGGTTATAAGTTTAATCTTTAGTGAAAAACTGCTTTTCCACTTCTTTTTATTAAGGACTATCGTGCTGTCATTGAAAAGCTTCCAGAGGATGACAAACCCAGTTTCTTTGGTCTGCCTGCCAATATTGCTCGCTCCTCTCAGCGTATGATCAGTTCTCAGGTAACCTAAAAAAACAATCTACCTTTAAAAAAGAAATGTTGCTACTGAACCTGAAGGAAACAACATTAAATTTTATTTAGAACTAAAGACAGTACAAACTTTTATTTAAAATTTTAGTTTCATTTAACACAATATATTTCAGTTTTACCTTAAACAAACTTAAAATGAGCCAGATAGTTTTATCTTAATATATTCACTAAATTTAGTAAAATAACATGGAACACTGTCAATTTCATCCAAAATATATTTGTTGTACTTCTGTAATTTATGTTGTTATGGCTACTTTAAGTGTAATTTATACAATTGAATATGTCACAAAATTTAACATTTTGTAAAATACCAGACACACACGTATATATAATTTACATTTCTGTATTAGCTTATAGGAGACAAGTAGTTAATATTTCATATCATTTTACTCATGAATGAATATTATAAAAATTGGGTAAAATACAGATTTTTAAATTATTGAGACATAGAAAAGTGTTAGCCATCAATAATGTAAATATATTTTCTAGGTTATGTTTTATTGACCCCAAATAAGAAGAAGTAACATTTATTGATCTCTTACTGTGTGCCTGAAACTGTTCTAAGTGCTTTATAATCAGGAACCTTATTTAATTTTTATAGACTCTATTAATAAGATTTATTATTTTCACCTCTTAACAGATTAGGAAACTGAGATAGAGTTAAATAACTGGCCTAAGAAGCCAGTAAGAAGAAGAACTAAGATTTAAACTCAGGCTGAGTAAAGGGATGGGCTCCTCACTTTGCACTGCAGCTGCCCCCCAGGCATAAATGTTATACTAAATAATGTGCAGTATTCCAGGGGCATGGAATCATGAACCATAACTTAAGTTCATTGGTCAGAAAATGAAAAATTCTTACTTTGGTAATTTACAGGCATTCTAGTTAGATTATATTTTTCTATGTAACACTGTAGTTTCATATTTTATTGCAATTTCAGCCAATACTTATAAAATAAAGTTTCCCCTCTTTCACTATTAATTGTCTGTTTTGCAATTTTAATGTTCATTCTCACATTTTTATAAAAATGGGGTTTTTTTGAGCATACAGATGCTCCTTGATTTACCATGGGGCTATGTTACAATAAATCTGTAAGTTGAAAATATCTTAAATTGAAAATGCATTTAATACAATTAACCTACAAAACGTCATAGCTTAGCCTAGCCTACCTTAAACATGCTCAGAAAACTTATATTAGCCAATAGTTGTGCAAAATCACTTACACAAAGCCTATTTTAAAATAAAGTGTTGACAATCTCATGTGATTTATTGAATACTGTGCTGAAAGTAAAAAACAGAATGGTTGTGCGAGTACTCGAAGTATGATTTCTACTGAATGTATGTTGCTTTTACCCCCTCCTAAAGTCAGAAAGTCTTAAGTTGAACTATCATAATTCAGGGACCATCTGTATATTTATTAAAATAACTGTAAATGTTTTCTAGAACAAATAAGATCTTAATTTCTCTTCATCTATACCAGCTAAAGAAACTCTCCAGTTCATTTTCCCTTTCTTATACAAAGTGTTAAATCATTTAGTATATGAAAGAATGTAAAGTCCTGCATGTCCCTTAGATTTATAATGTCTGTCCTCGAGTCATTTCCTTCCTCGAGTCATTTCCTCGAGTCATTTCCTTCCATCCTCTTTAGCTGACCTGAACTAATTATTTTTCAGTACTCCCACCAATAACATATAAGAATTATATATGTGTGTGTGTGAGTGTGTGTGTGTGTGTGTGTGTGTGTGTGTGGTGTACAGGCCAGCCTTTCAAAAATATTCTCCTGATATCTGTGGTAAACCTGAGAATATTTTATTTAGAAATAGACTATTGATCTAGGTTTATTTTTAATCTGATTTATTTTAATGTTTAAACTCAAGTTCTTTATATTTTTACCAAAACACACACACACGTGTGTGCCCATATATATATTATTATATATACAGGTGGTCACCCAGGTTACAGAGAAGATATGTTCCTGAGAATGTCTTTAGGTCAGATGTGTATGTAACTCATATTCCTAATGAGTATTATTTGATAATAATATAATGTAACATTGTAATAATAATACCCTGTACTGTGATAATAAGTTACAGAAACTATTGTGCTCTTTCTTTTAATTCAAACAAACAGAACACAAAAACAAACATAAAAAAATTTAAATAGGAGATAGGAAAAATTTCAAGAAAGAGTATTAAAAGTTAATGCTCACCTAATGTTGCATCAATGTATTGCTTACTAGAAGGGGCATTTCTGAGGCAAGAAGGCAGGCTGACATTAATCAGAAGGTGGAGATGGTGCTGGAGAGGACGGAGTGGATGCTGGAGAACCATGATTTGTTTCTGTTGCTGGAGGAGGGGAGATTACCATGAAGCTGGTTTCTTTAAAAAGCTATCTAGGGTTTTGCACAGCCTTTTTCTTTTTTTTTTCATCATAAATGGCCTTTTAGCAACTGATATTCTCACTAACTCCATGGTAAACCTTTATAAACCCCTCAGTGTTAGGGTCCTCAAGTTTAGCAAATCCTGCTTCAATGAGACCAAAGGCTTTAGCTAATTCTTTTGTCATAAACTTTCTTGGCTCTGGATCTTCAGATTCTTTGTTTTTGTGTTTCTATTAACTGCATCTCTACCTATGTGGCTAGGCACTGGTGTAAAGATGCTATTCCAATAAATCATTTATGCCATGCACATTTTTTTTGGTCTATATGTGCAGAAGAAACTAGTTCCCAAATTATTAATTTAAGTATTTAATTGTTATGTATCATTATACATACGATACCTTGGGATATGAGCCTTGGGAGCCCGTTCATAGGTATGGGATGCCATAAGTCAGGTCATCTGTAACCTGGCGACTACCTGAATATGTAAAAACGCTAAAAATTTACAATGCTTAAGCAAAAAAGTTGAAAAGAATTAAAAGTTTGTTAAAAGAATAAAAGATCACAATTCAAGAGAGGGTTTACTTTTGGAACCTTATTAATAGAAGTTCAAGAGCCCTCTCATTAAAGTTCTATTATCAACAGAACCTGGCTTCTGCAACTTCTACTCTCATTCAACTTCTGGGGAAATATGATTTAGCACAGCTTAAATCAATCATCTAATGAAGGGAATACAGTAACATAGAAAAGATACAGCCTTAGAGACTTTAGAGAAGGAAACAAGGCAAGAAAAACAGAATGCTCATTATCCTCATCTTAAGGGGAGGCCCAATAGCCACCTATGTATATATCTTCTTTTGCTTCTGGGCCCCAACTGCCATTGATGAGAGCCAAGGATGTGAGGGTCATCTTGGTACTGAGAAGCCATAATCTTAGTCTTCCACCTAACTTCTGTTTCATTTTAGTTACATAGGTCCAGGGCTTGCATACCAACAAGTGGCTCTGCAGGCTAAGTGAAGTCCCAACAATCAGGGGTTTCATAGCAAACTAGGCAGATAAAACATTCCACTCTTATCTTAACTATGTAGTTTTTAAGGAAATAGTACTGTGAGAAGATAGAGTCCAATGTTATTTTCCCAGACAATCCTAAGACAACTAGGCTTCACTTTTACTTTTTACTCACTCTAGTGTACCAAACAATTCTCCCAAATTTATCTTAATATGGTTTAATCTCTACTTTCTGTCTTACCTTAGTATTGAAATTGTTATGAATATTTGTTGCATGAAGATAACATTCTTCCTAAAGTTTTCTAGTAACACATACTTAATATTTGTATTTTAACTGTGAGTTTCACTACTTAAGTTTTGAATTGTCATTTTTATACTTAAATAGCTTTCATAGTGCGTCAATTATTATAACATTTTATTTTTGTAATTATAAAGATGTATATGTAGTTGAACTAATAACATTTCTGTATTTAGAGCATGCATTTAGAGATTTTTCATTCGAAGTTAGATTTAGAGCTACATTTAGCAAGCTTGCTCTTATTTGAAAGTAAATACTCAGATATAAAGAAGTCTGACTTGGCACCAATCTATCAGTCTACTTGATGCCAAGTACATTAAAAAAATTATCTTGCACAAGTTCAGGGATGGGAGAACTGATATTTTGAAGTTGATTTTTAATGATTTGGGCTTTTAAAGACAGAGCCCAGCACTAAAGTTGTATAGCCAATTTCATACAAATATAAAGGCTGAACATGAGTGCATCCATATGAAGCAGTAACCACGGTGGTATCTACTGCAAAGTGTTAATGATACTTATGTACAGGTGCTTTGTGTCCACAGTTTATCAGCTTGTTTTTGTAACTTGCTGCAGTATACATGCCACATGGTTTTCTCATCCCATCAGCTAATACACTATGTCTTTTTTCTTTTTCACTCTTATGTTACATGGATGATGTTGTATTAACCAAAATGTGAAAGTCAAAAGTCTATTATTTATTGAGGTCTCTCTCTTTAGCTCTAATAATATTTGCTTTATATATGTGGGTGCTCTAGCATTGAGTGTGTATATAATTATAATTGTTATATTCTCTTGCTGAACTGAATTAATTCCTTTATTATATAATGACCTTCATTGTCTTTTTTTTTACAGTTTTTTTTATCTTTAAATCAGTTTAATCTGATATAAATATAGCTATTGCTGTTCTTTTTTGGTGTTCATTTGCATGAAATATCTTTTTACATCCCTTTATTTTCAGTCTGTATGTGTCTTTTTTTTTTCTTTTTTTTTTATATATGTGTCTTTATAGATGATGAAGTGAGTTTCGTATAGGCAGTGCATATTTGGGTCTTGTTTTTTCATTCATTCAGCTACTCTGTCTTTTGATTGAAGAGTTTAGTTTATTTATAATCAGTGTTATCATTGATGGGTAAAAACTTACATTGCCATATTATTATTTGATTTCTGGTTGTTTTGCAGTACTCTTTTTCTCCTTTCCTTCCTTTCTTCCTTTGTGTAAAAGTGTTTTTCTTTGGTAATGTGCTTTAATTTCTTGCATTTTATTTTTTGTGTATCTGTTCTAGGTTTTTT